GAGTTCACTACTGTAGTGCTTACATCTAATGGACAGAATCTTGCCAAAGTAGAGCTACAACCTTCTAACTTACTAGATATATTTTGAGGAATTCTAGGATATGACTGAACCCCTTCTCCCCTCCAGCTCAGGACTATGCAGTCTCTTAATCTGGGTCTCTCTCTATGGAAAAAGTCTATATTGCCAAAACTCTCCCTCACTACTTCTCCAGAAGCACATTCCATCACCTCTACTACTTTTATTGTAAGGCTAGAATAGCAGAATCTTGCAAAGTCTGAATGCATCTCCCCCTTCCTCCCCCTATCTACAGGAAAACTGAGGAGGGTCAAACCAGAGATGCTTTCTCAAATTATATTTCTGCTTTAGACTCAAATTTCTTTTGTCTAACCATTGTCTTTGTTATGGCTCTTCCTCCTGTTCCGCAAGATTATTCTGTAAGATTATGTCATGCCAGACCTCTGGTTCTACAGTTACCCCTACACAATATGCAATATTCCCAATAGCAGTTGCTTTCCAAGGTTTCCTGAAAAGAAAGGGGAAGTTCAGAAATGCTTATATATAAGTTTAATATTTTGCCTGTGTTCCTGATTTTGAGCTGCTGGATGCTCTTCAAGTGTAGAGCTGTCGTTCAACAAGCTACCATGTGTTTCCCCGAAAGTAGATTCTTTTCTTTCTCCAGCCACCTTGAAAATATTAAGACCATTAAAGAAGTTTCAGGATTTTCTGGAGGATATTTAAAATTCTGTCGTATGTACTTTGGGATGTCCCCCCAAATCAAGTTCAGGCCCTTTTGTGCTCTCTAGCTTTGGGGAAGGCCTTTTCCCCGCTCATGTATTTGAAAACCTTTCCACTGAAGACTTTGTGCATGTATGCTTTGCCACTAAACTTGCCCTACAGGATTGTAAGATAATAAGGGAAGAAGACAGGGGAAGAGAATATTTTAGGACTATTGTGGATGTAAAGTACATGGCCATCCTGGATTGGACTTTTTAAAATAAAGGGGCCAATCTGATAGAAGCACATAGGAAAAGGTTGGTAAAAAGTGTGTTCCCAGCTTCCCAGCAGCCTCTGATTAACAAACTGGAATCTCCAAAAAAGGTGAAGAATTCAAAGTAATTGCAGCAGAGAAACATGTGCTCTGGGAAAATACTACTTCTTAAAAATAGGAAAACATTTTTTCTGGTGGCTTAGTGACGGTGATGGCGGCTACTTTGTAGCCGTCCTCCTGGGAAAGCGTGAGAACTGCGGAGAACAGCAGGCACCAGCTGTTCCGCGGCTCAAAACCTCCCTCCCGGGAGAAGGAGGGGAGGGGAGTATCGCCTGAATAGAGGTAGAGCCTCTTGAACCCCCCAGGAATTTTTCCCTGGGGGGTGAAAAGAGAGCTCCCTCGGAGTTCAGGTTGCCTCCGCCTCCCAGCTGTCTTTGTTCCTTTGGGAACAAAGCAAAACGCTGCTACCACCTCCGCGCTTAAAGGGACCGGGTGAGTTATTTTTAAAAAAAGCGGACAGAGTTGGATAAAGGATTTTTTTTTATTGGATTTCATATGGACTTTAGTTTGAAAGATTGACTTTTATTTCTTTTCTTTTTCTCTTTTTTGTTTTTTCTTGTGTGGAGAGTGAAAGTAAAATGGCGATTGGAAAGGTTTTTTTTTTTGAAAAAAAAGTGAGTGAAACGGAACGTTATGGATTAGATGGTTTTCTTTCTCTTTTTAAATTTTTTCTTATGGTGGATTTGTGCTTTGGGAAGACTTTTTTTTTTTGTTAAACTCTCCTTTGTTATTTTCTTTTCCCTTTTAAGGGATTTTTTTATTTTTTATCTTTTTTAAAGAAGGAGAAAAGAAGAAATAAGATTTTTTTTTATAATGGCTTCAAAGAGGCAAGCAACTTCTACAGTACCTAAGGTGGCTTCTTCTCCTGCGATTCTACCGGCACAACAACCTAAAGCTACACCACCACCCTCTCCTCCTTTGCCAGCAATAATGGTACAAGACATTTTGTAATGCTAATAAACCAGGGAGATGGTTGGCTTATCAATTGAGAAAGAAGCAGAGACAGAGAACTATAGATAAAATAAATTATAATGGTAAATTGGTATATCAGAAGGAGTTGATTAAGAAATCTTTTTTAGAGTATTACTATAAAACATTGGTACAAGAGATGATTCAACCTTTAAGTGAGCTTTTTAATAATATACTACAGGGTTCAGAGATTCCCCAGTCATGGGGTAGAGCTTTTATATCTTTGATTCCAAAAGAAGATCAAGACCTCACTCTACCAAAGAATTATAGACCTATATCTCTCTTAAATGTAGATTATAAGATTTTTTCAAAAATTTTAGCTAATAGGCTTATCAGGGTTTTACATGGACCAAACGGGTTTTATAACTGGAAGATACATGAAGAATAATGTCAGACAGATTATTAATTTATTAGAATACTTAGATAAAAACAATCAAGTTTCTGCAGGATTGATATTTCTAGATGCTGAAAAAGCTTTTGATCAGCTGAATTGGCAATTCATGTTAAGATTAATGGAGAAAATGAATTTTGGAGAAAAAATTTTACAATCTTTTGGTGCTATCTACCAAAAGCAAGCGGCACAACTTATAGTTAATGGGGGTTTGTCAGAGGTGTTTTCAATAGAGAAGGGGACTAGACAGGGTTGTCCATTGTCACCATTGCTGTTTGTTTTAACTTTGGAAATATTGTTGATTAAAATTCGAGAATCACAGCAAATAAAAGGAATAGAAGTTAATAAAAAAGAATATAAATTAAAGGCTTTTGCGTATGACTTGGTGGTTACCTTATCTCAACCTACTCATTCTGTAATAGAGTTATTACAATTAATACATCAGTATGGAAAGGTTTCGGGTTTTAAAATAAATAACAATAAGACTAAAATATTGCCTAAAAATATGACTAATTTGGACAAGCAGACTTTGGTTAAGTTGACAGACTTTGAGATTGTTAATAAGGTAAAATATTTGGGGGTTATTTTATCTGCTTCTAATGCAAAACTGTATAAAAACAATTATGAAAGGCTGTGGGTCAATATACGAAGAGATTTGGAAAACTGGGAGAAGTTGCAATTATCTCTTTTGGGAAGAATTGCGGCGATCAAAATGAATGTTTTGCCAAAGTTTCTTTTTTTATTTCAAATGATACCTATTTTAAAGAATAAGGTTCATTTAGATGAATGGCAGAAAGGTATTAACAAATTTATCTGGGCAGGGAAAAAAACCAAGAGTAAAACTTAAAATTATACAGGATATTCGAGAGAGAGGTGGACTCAAGGTACCGAATTTGAAATTGTATTATGATGCTGTGGCTCTAACATCAATAAGTGATTGGGTTAACTTAACAAATGTAGAAATACTCCTCTTGGAGGGTTGGGATTTACTTTTTGGATGGCATGCCTATTTAATTTTTAATAAAAGGTTGATAGGGCCTTTAAATCTCATATTATAAGGATCTCTTTACTTCGAGTTTGGAGGAAATATTATAGAAGTGATTTTAAAATTCCGTTATGGGCTATACCGGGGCATGCGATAGAAGGGATAAGGAGAGGAGTTAAGATGGATAATGTTTCTTATGCACAATTACTTAGATGGAATGGTAAAAATTAAATTAAATTAAAATCTTTGGAAGATTTAATACAAGGAAATATTATTTATTCATGGTTTTATTATAGACAAATAGTGGAGAGGTGGAAGATAGATTGTAATGTGGGTTTACTTAGAGAAGATGAGAATTTATTAAAACAAATAAAAGATCAAAGACGAACTCATATTAAGAGAATCTATGGGGTGTTAGTAGAATTGGATTCAGAAGCAGAATTAGTTAAAGAATGCATGGTTAAATGGGCACAAAATTTTGAAGAACCGGTTCTATTAGATACTTGGGAAATTATTTGGGTGAGGAATGTTAAATTTACACAAGCCCAAAATTTAAGGGAAAATTTTTATAAAATGTTTTATAGATGGCACCTTGATCCACAAAAAATGTCTCGTATGTATCCTGACTTACAGCCTAAATGTTGGAGATGTGGATGTTTGGATGCTACTTATTATCATATTTAGTGGTCATGTAAAAATATAAAAGCTTTTTAGATTAAGATATGGTGGAATATCCAAAGAATTTTTAGAAGAAGGGTAAAATTTACCCCACAATTGTTTTTATTAGGTATTGTTTCTGATTGTGATACTAAAGAGATTACATTGATGTTAAATTTAATCACAGCGGCAAGGTCGTTAGTGGGGCAATGTTGGAAGAAGGAATCTTTGCCTACTTTACAAGAGTGGTTTTTTAAAAGTTTCTTATTTGGCGGAAATGGCAAAGATCTCGGCTTTCTTGAAAGACCAATCGCAAGAGAAGTATTTTTTGGTATGGAAAAAATGGATAGACTTTATACAATATAAGTTGGATATAAAAAAATATTATTTAGCTTTTCAATAACTTATATTTAAAACTTAAGATATTTCATAGACTTTATAGATTTTTTAGACTTTTTTTCTTTTTTTTCTTTTTTCTTTTCTTTTTCTTTCTTTCTATTTTTTTGTATTTCTTTGTATTTTTGTCTTTTTATACACATATTATTGTTAACTATTTTATAACTTGTTTAATTAATGCATTTAAATTTGGTTATGGTTTATATTTGTTTTAAGACTTTTTGAAAATTTTTTAACTAAGCCTGTATTCAGCTCTGGGAAGGTTGGGGGAGGGTAGGGGAGGGGGGGGTGGGGAAGGGATTTGTATTGTTTTGTAAAATCTAAAAATTTTCAATAAAAAAAAATAGGAAAACATATGGTCAGGAATTTATGCTGTTTCCCCCCTTTTTAAATTTCAGTTTGCTATGTTACACCTCATATTCTTTTATGGCTCTGTAATACTTATGGAAAAGTTTAAAGTCAGCCTTCCATCAAATATCAGGCTATGTTCGTGAAGATTTTTTAATTTAGAAACATTCTGTGGTCTCTTATAATATTTGTAACCTTTCTTTCAGGAGAGGAGATTTGGGACCTCTAGGCTTCCACCCTGCAAGGACTCAGCAATTAACTAAAAAAGCATAGGATGAAAAGGATCACGCTACAAAAATCTGAGAAAACGTTTAGGTATGTACAAAAAAAAAAAGTTTATCTACAAGGCTAAAACATTCAAAATATATGGCACCATACCTAACCAGTAAAATAAAACTATTAGTTTAGAGATTTGAAATATCATTATATATGCCAGTGATGGCGAACCTTTTAGAGACCGAGTGCCCCAAAACTGGCCCCACTCCGCCCCCTTCCCCCTCCCCAACTGCCTGCAGGGCCACTCACCGCCTCCAGGGCCCGCCACAGATCACCCAGGCAGCCCAGCAGCGCTATGGTGGTCACGCCCTCTGCCTGCACCCTGCAGCATCAATTGTGCATGATGGGGTGTGAGGGCAGAGTCTTGTCTACACTGCCTGGCTGCCATGTCCTTGGCTGCGCTGCTCCGAGTGGGCCATGCTCAGGGGCGACTCTCCTTCAGGGGGGCTGCTGGAGAGGAGGGGGTCGTGGGGGGAGGCGAGGCTGGGGCAATTGCACATGTGCCCACAGAGAGGGCTCCCAGAGCCATCTCTGGCACCCGTGCCATAGGTTCGCCACCACTGATATATGACTTCACATTTATAAACAAAAATAAATAAATACAGTAAGAAAAAGAAACCCCAATAAAAGTAACCCAATATTAGAGAGTTAAGAAGAAAAACAAGGACTGGAAAACATAAGGTTAGCAGAAAAAAGATCAAACTGAAGGGTTTTTCAATAAAAAATGGGAGATTAGAAAAGAAGGGAGCAACTTGGTCTGGCAAGAATAAAAAAGAAACAAATAAATAAATAAAATAGAAACAAAGCTATGTTTAAAAATGGCAGCACAGCAGCATGTTTAGCCAAAATATTTTAATCAGGATGTATTTAACCAGACATAATGGCTTATATGTAATGCTAAGCCATAATGGGTAGATTTATATATCATGCAAGCCAGAAACAAACATCTCATTGACATTTTATTTATTTTATTAAAATTTTATGCCACCCTATAAGGTGACTCTGGATTAAGTATGATAAAATCCATGGAGTGCATTTTTCTGGACTCTGCCTTTCATTCCAGTTTAAGATTGAACTACTCAAATATTTTCCCAGTCATACTGAGAAAAATTATGTCAGCTATCTCTCACGTGTCAGAAGTCCTAAAGTCACCTAATCCAGTACAAAACTCTGCTACTTAGCAATATGGATTGCTTGTGAGAAGGTCACCGTTACAATACAGCAATGAGCATCTGCAGCAGTATCCTTGCTCACATTTGAAAAATCACTGAATGTTTTATTATGTATCAGATTTTATTTATTATATTTGACTTCTGGTCACTTACTAATAAAGTTCTGATCAGATTTATGTGAAATAGGAAGTTGAAATTGATAATGTATTGCTGTTCTAAAAAAGTCAAACACAGTTTCAGTTATAGATCTTGAAAAACTAAGTGGATGGACATTATTTTTTTTTTTAGGTAATACAAATAGAGTTTAAATTATTATTTTTTAAATGAAATACTCTTTATCTAAAAACTATGATTTTCATTTCAAATATACTAATCATACAATAAAAGCTCTCTAGAAAGGAAGGGAAAATGTGTCTGTTGGAATTCTTTCCACCTTGTAATAATAGGTCAGCTCCAAATCTGCTATCTAGAAAGAAGGAATAGCATCTAGAACAGAGCAACCACCAGCATTTCAAGCTGCTGCCCAACTGCTTCGATGCATTGGGACAATTTCCCAGTTCATAACTGGACTCAGCCCATTTTCGGTACTAGATGTTTGTTTTATAAGCTTCTCTCACATCAGACCACATCCCACTTTGTTCTGTTTTAGGAAATTCTTCTGGTGACAGATAGGCTGAAATACCCTGAGCCCTTGATATAATTTATTCCTAACAATTGACATATATTTATTTATCATATTTATACAATACTGTATCACAATACTGAATTAATTATGTTATATTCACACACATTTGCCTATTAAACAGACACTCTTCATGTTTTTCATCTCATGGAAATGATTCTGTGCAGTACAACTGCCCATTCCTAAAGGCTTCTGCTTCTTTGACTGACTCATATATACATGGACTGATAAACATATTGTTATTCTTTCTTTATGTGGTAGTGAAGTTGAGTCGAGGGTTACAAGGGTTAGCTGAAATAGAAAGAACACAACAAAAGTAGTCAAAGGCAGAAGCAAAAGTTGAATTGATATTACTTTCCCTTTACATTCTATCATAGCTTGTTTTGCCATAGATCATGAGTACGGTATTTATACTTACTAAATTAATTATAAAAAGTGTTATCTTAAAACATAATTGCTGACCTCCAATCTGGCATCTTTAGCCACTGGTCAAGGCTGGCTGAGGCTGCTGGAAGATTCGACCCTCAAGTGTGCTAAGCTACATGTTACTTGCTCTGTTAAATATGACTATGTTGAATTGCACATTAGCAATATTTAATGATCAGAATCGCATTATTGTTTAATACATGTAAATAACTTGCATGGCAACCTTGATTCTTGGTGATTAAAATGTTATTTGAATTATTTAAATCATTTTCATACTAATAAATACAATATTTTAGGCGAAGAACAACTATAAATATTGGATGAGAAAAAAGACAGTCCAAAGAATGCTTAGGAAAACAACCTGAAAGTTGAATCCTAGAGACATTAAATTTTAAAATATGATGATATATGTGAGATGGGGGAGAGAAGAATTGGCAAGAGAAAGGGGTCTTCAGATTTCAATATTTAATGGATAAGATAAGAGCAATGTTTGTTTTTCTGCTCCATGTGGGATATTTTAATTCAAATAAAATAAGTTAGTAAATACTGTGACCAGCCAGTACAATAATTGTTTCGTATTTGAGAGATAAATAACTAACTACACCAAATGATAAATATACCATTCTTATACCGATATTATTTTCTCTCTTGTAACAGCTCTCTTCCTGATAGTATAATATCCTAGGAGGTGAAGTGGGGGAGGTTATATTTTTCTCCCGTTTACTTAAAGGACCAGTTGTTTTTAAGCTTTATGTAGCAATAATATTGTATGAGCAGAAAGGCTCTTTCCTTTCCCTTCCTTTACTCTCTTTTTATTCTGTCCAACTCTCCACAATCTTTTCCTCTCTCATGTCTTCCTAATTAATGCCCAGTTAATCCTTTGCTTACTTCAGGAGAATACAAGTGTTGTACCATTTCATCACGTCAACATCATATCCAGTATTTGAGAGGCTGACACAAAGAGGAAGGGATCCACTTATTTTCCAAAGCACCAGAGGGCAGGACAAGAAACAATGGATAGAAACCAATCATGGAGAGAAGCAACCTGGAATTAAGGAGAAACTCCCTAACAGTGAGGACAATTAACCAGTGGAACAGCTTGCCTCCAGAAGTTGTGGGTGCTTCATCACTGGAGGTTTTTAAGAAGAGACTGGACAGCCACCTGTCTGAAATGGTATAGAGTCTCCTGCTTGAGCAGGGGATTGGACTAGAAGACCTCCAAGGTCCCTTCCTACTCTATTCTGATTGAAGGTAGAATGCTACATTAAGTCCACATCCGCATCTATAAAAGAAGAGAAATAAAGAATTATTACTTATTTATTATTTATTTATTTATGAGAGACTTATATACCGCTTTAAGTGCAAGCACTCTCTAAGCGGTGTACACCAGTAAGCAATGTACATATATGTATTTACATTGCCCCCAACAATCTGGGTCCTCATTTTACCTACCTCGGAAGGATGGAAGGCTGAGTCAACCTTGAGCCGGTGAGATTTGAACCGCTGACCTGCTGAACACAGTCAGCTAAAGTGGCCTGCAGTACTGCACTCTAACTGCTGCGCCACCTCGGCTCATTATCACTTTTATTACATGAAGTTTATGTTCATTTTTTCCTCTTTCCAGGTTACTTGCTTATTTCTATAAATGTTGATCTAAGGCAATTCTCCCACTGACTTGAATTCTAAGAGGCCTTTTTGTGAAAGGTATGTTGCCCTGAGAAGTAAAGTTATGCGGCACTAAATGTTTTAAAAAATTCCTCCAGAAGACAGATGGAACCGTGATGGGACAGATGTAGATGTGTCTATATGCATGTCTGTCTTTTGTAAAAAAAATAATAGTAATAATAATGCCAAGCCAACAGAGAGAAGGAACTGTATAGTGTGACATACTTTTGTGAGCAAAATGCACCTGCTGTCTTTGTGCAAAGCATACAAGTTTCTGGGGCAAATATCTTAGGTTGTTCCCTACTGCCTTATGCCTAATGATACCAGCTTTTATTATCCAATTTAGTGCCTGTCCTCACACTAAATTCTCCATGTCTCCTGTAACCACACAGAGAGGCCGCCCTATTGCTCCTTATCAAACATCTCCCTTCTAACTTGTCTTTGCTGATCTAAATCCTGACTGTGGTCCAGCAGTTGGTGAAGGAAAAGTACTGCTTATACCACAGGTGATTAGTATCTTTCACTTGTTTCTTTGAGCACTGCAAGAGCCCACCTGCTGTCTCTTGTCATATCAGATTCACATCACTGGTAAAGTTTTGCCAACTATAATCCAGCCACCCACTGTGTAACCAGTCAGTTAACCCTTTGTGTTTCAGAAAGAACAATACAGCAGCATTGCTGGTATCACTACTATAATTAGAAATTTGACTGTATTCCAGGCCTCCCTGGTGTCCAAGACATAATAAGTGACTGCATTTAATATTTATTTATTTCATTTATTACAAGGATCTGCATGCTGCCTACATATTGGACTCTAGGTGGCTTAAATATTAAAATAATAAAAATATAATACATGTAGTAAAATCACAAATACAACCAAATCCTCCCTCACTATAGTCAGCTATTGAGGATCCCTCATCCCAAAGGACTCTTTATACCTCCCTATTTCTATCCGCCCCACTTTCTAAACACCAGAACTCAGAGGGGAAGATTATTCCATATTGAGGTGGCTAGTATTGAGAAAGCCATTTATAGGCTCCTGTTCCTTTGACTTCTCAGCAGGTGGATTCTTAGAGCACCCTTCCCAGTTAGAATGTGCTGCTCAGCCAGATTACCCCTGAAACAGGAAGCCCTGGAGGTAACAAGGGCCCAAGCTATGAAGAGTTTTATAGGTAAATGCCACAGCCATGAATTAGGCCCCAAACCTTACTGACAACCAGTACAGCTCCCATGATGTAGGTGTTTTTTATTAAACTGGTATCAATTAATAGGCAGGAACCTGCATTTTATGCCATTTGTAACTTCCAGGTCATCTTCAATGGCACTCTCATGTAGACGAAATTACAGTAGAGATAGTCCTTGACTTAAGACCATAGTTGGGACTAAAACTTCCCTCATTAAGCAATGTGGTTGTTAAGTGAGTCATCATATAACTGCTCAATTTTGCAACTTTTTCCCCCCACAGTCTTTAGGTGAATCCAGCTTCCCCCATTGACTTTGCTTGCCAGAAGTGGGTTGAGAAGGTGGTGATCATGTGACCCCAGGATGCTGCAACCATTGTAAATACATGTTTGTTGTCAAACCTCCAAATTGTGATCATTCATCAGAGCCACATTTAAAGGGGTTAAAACAAGCCTCTGCGGCCTTCCATGGGGAGCCCAAGGGGGCAAGCAGTTGTGAGGTTGATTGGTGTCATGAGAGCCCTCCCTTTGCCAACTAATTTGTAACAGAGTTTATTTCTTGCCTCCTAAAAGTTTTCAAAAATTTTAAAACTTTTTAAAAACTTTTAATTCTATAATTTTAACTCTTTAACATTTTCATTTTTATATACTGTTTTTATATTTTGATTTTTTTTTTATTGTGCACCATCCAGAGTCCCTCTTTGAGGGAGATGGGCAGTTCAGAAATGTGAAAAAGAAAGAAAGAAAGAAAGAAAGAAAGGGAAGGAAAAGAAAGAAAGAAAGAAAGAAAGAGAAAAGGAAGAGAAAGAAAGAAAGAGGAAGGAAGGAAGGAAGGAAGGAAGGAAGGAAGGAAGGAAGGAAGGAAGGAAGGAAGGAAGGAAGGAAGGAAGGAAGGAAGGAAGGAGAGTGTGATGACTGGTTGTAAGTCACTTACTTTAGCATTGCCATAACTTCAAAAGGTCATTAAATGAAATGGCCATAAATCAAGGACTGCCTATAATCTGAGATGACAAAAGTATGAAGGTTCCTAGTCCAAAAAGAGTTGCATCGGGTAGATCAGCTAGAGTTGGCAAAAAGGATCTCCTAGTAATGGTTTTGCCATTCTGCTACACCAAGAATTGTGAATCCAGGAGAACACTCAGACTGCAATGGCACCCCTTCAACAGCATGAAACATCCATGGATTCAGAAAGCCTCTGCACCATCAGCAACCCTGTCTTGCTAGGATTAAGTCTGTTTCACTCCATCCACTTATAGCCTCTAGAAATTCCCAAAAAATTTGCACATCATCTCCTGCTTGGCCTGTCATGCAGATGTAAAGCTGGGTACCATCTGCATATTAATGACAACTAAACCAAACTGACAGATGACCTCACCCAGCAACTTCATGGAAATATTGGAAAGAAGGCCAAGATCTGCACTGACATACCCTCTCCTCTATAATACCAACTGGAAAGAAACACTCAGAACAGAGAGACCCTTTGTAAAACAATGCCCCCAGTCAACAAAACCTGTGGCTGACCAAAAAGGATATAATGAGGGATGGTACTGAATGCCAATGAGAGAGCCAGGAGGAGCACAGCATGTCCATTGTCAGCCCTGCAAGGTAGACCACATCAGGAAACATAGACACTACAAGAATTCCAGGAAAGCTACTTTACTGTGTAGGCTATAATAACAGAATCTTGAAAGCCCATCAGAGTTTCTGCCTTCTTATACTAAACACAGTCAAGGTGGAGTTATTTTAATTCCCCCCCCCCATGTTTCCTACTTTCCTGAATTTTTATTTTTCCTTTCTTAACAGATCATGCACTTGTCCATCAACATTATATCTTACCTTTCTTTTTGCCATCTTCTCTCTCACCATCTATAATTCTTCTCTGCTCCATATGCAGAAAGACCCAAGCAAGTCACGATAGGAAATGTCTACGGATTTCTTTTCTGCTGCCCTTATTTGCAGATGGGCCTGGCAACTCCCCAAGCCGTGCCTGACCACAAAGAGTCAGTTCCCCCTTGTTTCTTGTTGCACAGCAACTGGCACTGGCAAGTCTAACCTTGCAGAAAACAATGAGTCTCCTTCATTCTAAGGTTTATTGTTTATTGATAATGGTGGCAGGTGACAAGAATGTAGCTTTATGCCGAATTTCAGGTGGAACTGGTGTACAAGGTACGAAACATGAAAACCTATTTTTCTTTCCCACAATCTCTCCAATTACTGAATAGCCCTTCCAATAAATAAGCTATTCCAGAAGTCTCCTCCTATGTTTAGAATCCAGAATAAGTTCTATGTCATAATTATACTTCTCATCAAAACCGAGGTTAGTGACAGGGTAAGCAGAGAGTTTGAATATGATGTGCATGGTGGTTCTTTATCAAAACAGGAGCAACCAATGGAAACCTGGAAGATTCTTCACTGAAGTAAACAATTGTAAATGAAAAGCCACTGATTGTGTAACTGGGAAGGGGCCAGTAAACATGGAATCCTGCTTTTGTGATAGTATGTGGGAATGACCTTGGGAGGGAGAACTGCAGGTTAACCAGCATGCAAAATGTATCTCAGCCCACAGAAGGAGCAGAGAAGCATTTCAGAAGGGACCCTTCCTAGTTTTATAGGGAGTAAAAGGAGAAGAGGGGGGAAATATTTTCAGACTTTGAAGATTCTATTAATGTAACCTTACAATAAAAATAGAGCCAGTACTCCTGCTTTTGCTTCTTGTCTGGACTACCTCACTGGGCTAACACTAGGCAATTCAGTAGGTCTTTCACCCACCCAGACTCCTCAAGCTTCTATTCTTCCAAGGCTCCTGAACTTTTGCTCTCCATATTTTTCTACTCCAGAGCACTATGGTTCCATACTTCCCTCTGCCTCCTATGCAGAGGAAGAGCTGTTTACCTAAACCACAGGTTCCTTTTTCTTTTGTCTAATATTGGTCCCCCAAACTCAACCTCGGTCATCTCTTGATAAACAGAGCCATTCCTTTCCTGATGTTAGTTCTGTTACTTCTCAATGTAATAGCAGTCATGGCTTTCCCACTATGGCACCCACCAGAGCTTTTCAAAGATGACAATCTCTCCCCATTCCATCTTGCTCACTGTTTCTCTACTCATGCCACTAACCACCAGCTCCCATCCAACTCAGTTCTAATTTTCCCCCAGCCAGTCACTACCTATCCAACTAGAATATGCCTCAGTCTTTCAGCCTTCTGCAAATCAGGTCTTCCATATTATTCCTGTCACCATTCCCAGTTCTTAATCTCTCTCCTCCATTATCTCACTATGACCATTTCCAGCTTTCTCTCAATCTGACCTAGTCTACTTATCCCTTCTTCTATTTCCATATATTTCCTCTGTAAGCTCTCCCAACAACCATTTTCCAATCATCCATCTCAGAGTTCCTTCTCTGTTCTGCTTTGGAAAGCTCCTTTATCTCCCACAATTCACCGCACCCTGGGAATCATGACCAGCCTGTCAAATTCTCCAAGTTATATCTTCACCTGCACTTCATTTTCTTCTGGTCAGAGACAGGTCTTCAGCAGTATCACCCTCGGGGAGGAAGGGTCTTTAAGATATTACAATATCAAGACTAGTGTTAGCCATGAGTTATGCCACTATGATAGTTTAAAAAGGGAAGAAAGGGCTTCCGGTTTTGCACAGTAATGCAGCAGCTGAGGGATCGCGGGATTGCCTGCTAAGGGACCCTAAATGGGCCTGAAGTTGCCCTGTCCCATAGAGGCAACAAAGAAGGAAGGAAGTCCTGCCAATTGCGGAGAGACAGCGGTCGATCCAATTGGTCCAGGAAAAGCCCTCCAGAAACCAGCAGGAGAAAGGCTAGCTTAACTTCAGAGTCTAATCCATGCTAGTTTAAAATTGGTAGAATCTGTTAAGATTTTCCTTTTAAATCATGAAAATAGAAGTAAACAATTGTTTATTACTGACTGGTGCTGACATCTAGTGGTGGATAAAAATATACAACAGCAGTTGCTTTATTACAGGGATTGGCAAAGCCCAGGAAAAGATAACTTGTTTTGGGTGACCTTCAATGCCTTAATAACAGAGAACAGCTGTAACAAAAAAGAAAGAAAACATTTTGGGCTATCTACAAAGTGAGAATTATAAACTCTTAAAAAAAAGAATTGGCCTTTCTGGATTACAAATACCAACTCAACTGTGACTCTAAAGCTTTCTGCGGAGAAAGGAAAACCCTGATTTTTAGCTATCATGGAAAACCAGAGATCTGCAGAAAGAATATACCAAGAAAAAACAATTACTTTCCAGAAGGAGATCTGTGCTATATTGCAACTAATCCAAACAACAATGATCTCAAACCACAAGGAAATTAAAAATAACTTTGAAAATATAAATGAACACATCTCCAATTTAACTTTACAGCACAAAAATTCTCAGAAAATAAAAACAGAGAGTGAGCAAAAAAACCAAACAATTGAATATGAGGCAGAGGAGAGAGATTTCAAGATGGAACTTAACAATAGAAGAAAGTATTACTTAAGCCAGATGGAAAAAAACTTACAGGAAATACTGGACATGGAAAAGATAACCTATACTCTAAGATTACAAAATAAGTTTGAGGATAAGAAAAAAGATTTGACAAAATGGATTCTGCCAGGAGAACTATGAGAACTTGAGAGAAAAAGATGATAAATAAAATCGAGAAAGAAAGAAAGAAAGGAAAAGATTCTCAATGAATACAAAGCGGCGAAACCTTTCTATAAAAACATCTTACCTGTTTTGCCTTTTGTACCTCCAACAATATTTTTAAGATTATCGAAAGATTCTTTGATTCAGTGAAGCATATTGATCAGGAAAGATGTTTGCCCCCCCCCAAAAAAAGGCTAAAGTGAGAATTAAAAAATTAGATGGTGGGATTTACTAGAGGGAATATTTAAAAATTAAACATCTGTTTGAATATGGTTAAACAAATAGAAAGATTTTGCATATAAATGAAGATTAGTTTAAGATAGATGAATCCCTCAAGTAACATAGTATTTATTCTTTCTTTTTTCCTTTTTGTTTTGTTTTTTGACGTGAGAAATATAAAAATGTTGGGATGGTTTATATAAAAGAAATTTTTCCTCTTGAGTTTTTTTCTCCTTTTTTTAAGATATGAGAAATGTAAAAGTGTTGGGATGGCTTGTATGATAAAGAAGACTTAAATACTTAAGTGTAACTAATGTCAAGAAAATCTTAACCAGTAAGAATGCTTTGAATATTGTGGGAAAAACAAATTTAAATAAGAATTCAGTAAACAGGATCCATGACGAGGCAATCAAGATGATCAATTAGAAAAGAAGCTTTATATTGATGTGGTTATTATTTGCAGAAGCATGAGAAAAATGTCTATATTTAATTGTCATTTATTCAAATAATAAGAACTGTATTAATTTAAGATTAGCAAAAGAGAATATTATTGGAAGAAGAGAAAATCAAACAAAGCTATTATATGGACTATAGAATTATAGAAATAAATTGTTATTGATTGTTTTTTAAATACTACCCAGACAACACGCTGTTTACCAAATATTAAGGTGATTATGTTAAAAATCAATAAAACATATTTTAAAAAAATAAAAAGGGAAAAGAGAGAGAGAGAGAGAGAAAGACAGGCAGGCAGGCAGGCAGGCATGTATACATGGTTTCAGAATTATATAAATAAAGTATAGCTGAGAATAAAGAAGCATAGCAATCCTTTCAGCAAGTTCAAAATTGAAATGTATTTTGTATCTCAGTAAGCAATCAATTATTTCATGTTTATTGTACATACAACTATTTTATAGCCATAACTTTATTGTCCAAAGAATTCAAGGTATATTGCCTTACTCGCCCCATTTTATTATCACAACAACCTTGTGAAATAAATTGAGAGACTGTGGTACAGTATGACCCTGTGAGCTTTATAGTAGAGTGAAGATTTGGATGGGGTCTAGTTAATTATACTTCAGGGCTAAAGGACCTGTGGCACTGAAGATGCTGTTGAATTATATTTCCAGCATCCCTCATCACTGCCAGAACTGACTGGGGAACAGCATCTGGAGAACCACCGATTCCAACCCACTCCTAGTCCATTAGCAAGTACTGTTGACAAACTGTAGCTGGCAATACTTCTTTTCTCTGAATATTTTTTGTGAGAAAATTAAACAAGCGAGTATAGTATGTTTTGTAAGTTGTGCTGATTCCTTCTCAAATCATCTAGAGTTCATTTCTTATAACGTAGAAAATGGGAAAAGGTACAATATCTAAATACTGAGTTCCTTAAGTAGCCAAAAAGATAATACCTAAAATCTATTTGTGCAAATGCAAAACAGAACTCATTTTGCAGCTCAATATTACAAATCAAGAAGTACATCACTGTTAGCCAGAACATAGTGGAGGAAAAACTTCCAGTCACTGTGAAGAGATTGTGAAAGATTGCTAGGCAACCCCATGCTGCCATGCAAAAAAAAAAAAAGTCCTACCCTGAACATAATTTTCATATTATGTTTTATTTTACTTATTATTTATTTATTTAGAAAAAATGTTTCTGTACTTGGGCTGTTCAAAAGTCATGTGTCAAACAAGTAAAGCGTTTAAAAGCAACTAATCAGCAACCAATTTGAACAATTTATATAATAAATTCTCCAAAGGGGCTGACTTTGGTATATCCTGTGCATATATGTGCACATGTTCATGCACGACTTAACCATGTGAGACCTTTAGGAAAAATATGGATTTGGAAAAATAGCCATGAATAGAGTTAGATCATAAAGACAGCTTTTGTGCAGAATTAAGGCTCCACAAAGGGATGCTCAGTTGTAATCATAATATTAAAGTTTCATATTTCGCAGATTTATCCTTAATTTAGAGGAAAATTATTTGCAATGAAAATGGAGATGAGGGAGGGATTTCCAGAATGTGTAAAAAAGAAACACCTCCCACTGAGTTCTAAAGTTGAGTCTGTACCCTTGGTTGCCACAGTTCTGAAAAAAGCTGGAAGTGGGAGAATGATCACAAGGTACGCTGTGCTTCTAAAGGAGGAACAGCCTGGTGTGGGATGATTTAGTACTGATAACAATTTGGAGTTCAGATTGTAGCAAAAATGAAATTCAGATCCTGCGACATAAAAACAATATCAGCTCACACAGGAATCATAGGCCCCAGTTCTGAGCATTCAGTGTCTCCAACCCACAATATTTCCAGGTAAATACAATGAAATCAGAAAAAGTCGTTAAGAACCTGAGAAAGCAACCGTAGATTAATGATTAAGCACTATTATATATTCATATGCTCACCAGATCTTTAAAATGCTCATCATTCCTGCTTCTTCCTCCGCCAGTTACAAAACCCAACAGCTTAAAAATTAGTTTGAAAAGATAATCCTGGCCTGCAACAAGGAAGAAGTGATTTACAACCTTAGCAAAATGTTACTGCTGTTATTTTGGGGTGTAGGGCTTTCTCTATTTTGAAAGGCAAAGGAGGAAATTTTTGAACTCTGCCTCGAGTGAGTTCAAAATACCACTTTGCTAACTGAATTAGAGGAGTGGCACTATACGAAAGAATACATTTGCATGATGGCTGTGACCTTTGGTTGGAGAATGAAATAGAAAAATCTCTGATTTCCTCCTATGTGTGAATGCTCCATCCTGATCCAAGGCTAGGAGAAGTTGCTATAATTACTTCAGTTCCACAATGTCACATACCATGTAATATTGAGATGCATCTCTGGCCTTTTGCCTTTACCATAAGCTGACAGCGCTCCCCGTTGACTTTTCTTAGAGCTACACCACTGGGGCTAAGGGCTGAACATTAATCCTATTCATCTTATTAGCATTTCAGAAAACACAGGATCCCTCCTCCCTCCTTCCCTCCCTCCCTCCCTCCTTCTCTTTCTCTAAAGGCAGAGGTAAAAGGGGAGGACACAGCTTTCTATTCATCTGTGACTTTACTCACTGATGCGAATAAAAGGATATATTCGTTTCGATATGCAGATTACATAGAGTAAGGCAACAGGAATGTTGGCAATTACCTTCAACATATGAACAGTATATAGATCTGCATGGAGATTGTTCATTTGTGTTTATGTGTCTGTTGGTGTGTGCTTATACACGCACACAAACTTGCCTATGAGTCAGTTTTTGGCTTGTGGCAACTGCTTGAACTAGTCTCTGCAGTTTTCTTGGCAAGGTTTTTTTGGAAGTGGTATGCCATTGTCTCCTTCCTGGGGCTGAGGGAGAGTGACTGGCCCAAGATCACCCAAATGCTTTTGTTCCTAAGGCAGCACGATCAGAGCTCAGGGTCTCCCGGGTTCTAGCCTGAAGCTTAAATCGCTACAGTATATCAAACTGGCTCATCTGCGGCTTTCAAATGTGTGCAACGCAGTGCCCATAGTGTCAATAAACAAGGAGAAGTGCCAAGGGAGGTGGTTGTGCTCACCACCATCAAGGTGAGCACCACCCCTTCCCTTGGCACCTCTCCTTGTTTCTTTCCTGAGTCTTTTTAAAATATTCTTTTTAATAAAAAGAATGTTCAGTATAAAATAAAGCATCAGCTTCCCCTATCAATTTTATGAGAGTCCTTTCCCATATAAGTCCCATATGCCTTTTTAAAAAATAAAGACAGCAGATGGCTATAGCCAAGCATTTCATTTGGAAGTGCAACCACAAGCACAAAAGAAACAAAGATAAGCAGTGGTGACGGGCAATTTTCTGGAGGACTCGACAGAGAAGCAACCTTCACTCTTTTATGTTCTGATAAGTGGGTGTTTTGTGACTGGCTATATCCCCTGGGCCAGCCACGCTGGAAAGATGCCTTTGGCAGGATCTCAAATTTCCAGATTTGTCCACTAGTCCAAAAAGCTTTCCTATTTCCTGTTATCATTTGTAGCTTTGAGCTATATCAGAAGCATACAGGGCAGGGATACTAAGCTCCTCTTTTGCCTTACCATTTTCTTCTTGCTCCTGCCTCTTTTACAATTTTAGGAAATCTTCAAAATTCCATATGAGAGATGATGATACAGAGTCGGTCATGTCCAACCCTTGGTGATTTTATGGGCCAGGTCTCCACATCTTCTGATCTTGCATTGCTTCTTTGAGTTTTTTTCTGTGCTTTGGCTGGTGTGAGCTTTGATGGCATCTGGCCATTGTGCTGTTTGGATGCCCAGTTTCCTTTTACTGCTAACTTTTCCCACCATAATTGCTTTCTCCAGTGAATATCAGAAAAAAAGAGCAAAATTGGAGAAAGTTATAAAGTATGATTGTGCCTAATTTCACAAGCTCTTTTTGTATTAAAATCAGACATCTATGCCTTTAAAATTGCGCATGAACAGGGAGAACACAGGAAAGGAGATCTCATCACAAGAAGCTTGGCCTTAAATTCTGGCATTTTTAAAAACTAATTTAGGTAGAATTACATATGTAATTACCAGAAAATCTTATTAAAAGTTGCAATAGCTTAGAAAGCCAAAATCTCAAGGTAAGCTACCATTTGCCTATAACAAGATTATATATTTTAATACCCGCACACATTTTTAAAATATGTTCAAAAATGTTTCATTATTGGGTCTTTTGATTGTTTTAGAACTTCTGTTGGTTATTCATTCATTCTTGTGAAGAGTTCAACATATTTATCTTCCATATTTTTTATTTTCAGGTGTATGGGCATCGACTTACAAGCATTTTGATTTGTGCAATGAAAATGCACAGTTCTCAGGTGAAATGTAAGCTTTGTTTTGTAACAAGTTGGAGAAAGAAAAAATGAGATATGACATTATCCCATCTTATTGGGTAAGAGTATGCAACCTCAGGGCATAGAGGTTTAGAATCACAAATTTTGTAACATAGCTACACATCGAAGACAAGCATGACTAATAAGAATCTTATATTACAAACTAAAACAATTAAATATAGTCACATTGGCCAATAGAAATGTCTACAATTGAAAAATATGTTGCAGATATGAGCGTATTTTACCTACCATTTTGGAATAAATAAGCAATGCTGTCCTTCAAATCCTGAGAACAGAAAATGACAGATGTATCTCTGATCTTTCATCTGTTATGGACAGATGAGCAGAAACTAATTAAAAAAAAGCATGATGGTTTTTATATTAGCAAATGCGGAGATTAAATTTGGATGAGCAAAGAGAAAAGGCCAATTAAAGCCAAATGGCGTATTCCACTTAAGTGCTGGCAGGAAAGGAGACGTGTGTGTGTGTGTGTGTGTGTGTGTGTGTGTGTGTGTGTGTGTGTGTGTGTGTTTCTAGCCTGGTGCCTTACCCACTACACCAAACTAGCTTTTGCAGATATGCACTAAAAATATAAGATGTGAAGCAGCCCTCAAGTAGTTTCCAGGAATCGTAAATAAGCCTCTCATCAAAGTGTATGAAACAGAGGCATAGAATCAAGGTCACGCGCGGTATTAGTACTGCTTTATAAAACCCTAGTAAGACCACACCTGGAATACTGCAGCCAATTTTGGTCACCTTATCTCAATAAGATGTTGTGAATTTGGAAAAAGTTCAGAGAAGAGCAACTAAGATGATCAAAGGCCTGGAGACTAAAACATACGAAGAACGGCTGCAGGACTTGGGTTTCGCTAGTCCAGGGGTGTCAAACTCACAATGTCACGTGATGTGTCACAACGTATCACAACTTTTTTTCCATTGCCAGCAATACAATAGGTGCAGTTTCACCATGACGCAGCCGGCCCGTGGGCTGGCAGTTTGACCCCCCTGGGCTAGTCTAAAGAAAAGAAGAAAGAGGGGAGACATGATAGCAATGTTCCAGTATCTGAGGGGCTGCCACAAGGCAGAGGGGGCCAGGTTCTTCACCAAAGCACCAGAGGGCAGGACAAAAAACAATGGTTGGAAACTGATCAAAGAGAGAAGCAACCTGGAATTAAGGAGAAACTTCCTGACAGTGAGGACAATTAACCAGTGGAATAGCTTGTCCGTAGAAATCATGGGGACTCCATCACTGGAGATTTTTAAAAAGAGGCTAGACAGTCACTTGTCTGAGATGGTATAGGTTCTCCTGCTTGAGCAGGGGGCTGGACTAGAAGACCTCCAAGATTCCTTCCAGCTCTATTCTATTCTGTATTTAAAACATGCCCTCAAAAATTTCACTCTAAGATTCAGTTTAGATCATTCATTAGTGAAGCTTGGTCCCTTCAGTTTAGTATCACCTTTTCAGCTTTTCAGGGACAAGTTTCAGAAAAGTGGATTCACTTCATAGTCAGTTTATATTTTTCTTGTATCTTTGGGGTTCTTTTTGAAATCCCTGATGGTCTTTCTCCTGTACAAGGTTTCTGGGAATGAGTAAAACCTCTGTTAGTTTTAAGAAGCCAGGTTTAAAAACAAACAAATAAACAAAAAAGACAGCCCTTGATAGGATTTATACTGGTTTATCATAAAATGAAAGAAAATATTCTAAATATGCGGAAATCATGCATCTTCATCACCAGCTAGGTGGAACAATCCAAATCTACAGGTGATCATTTGTGATTGACCCACATCAATGGGCAGTTATATTTAATCAGGACAAGAGGACCTAAATTGCAGCTTGTGTATAGAAGTATTTTATGGCAGGACCTGAAGTCTAAGTATGGAGCTGTCTGTGGCTGTTTTTTGTCATGGATGGATCTGTAGATAGATAGATAGATAGATAGATAGATAGATAGATAGATAGATAGATAGATAGATAGATAGATAGTAGTTGACTAGATAGATAGGTAGACAGACAGACAATAGAGAGAGAAAAAGAGAGAAAGATAACCCATTTAACTTTTTTTTACATAAAAGTAACTGAAAAACAGCTTACCTTTGGGTACGGTAAGCCTTAAGTTACGTACAAACATAACCAGAAGGATGAGAAAAAGCATTTCCCAAGAATTCACAAAATATGAGAAGAATAACTTCTGAAAAAGTACATGTTACAAGTATAATTTATAAAGGGTTGTTCTGCTAAATTATGCAAGGTAAGGGAGAAATCTAAAATACAGTTATTGCAGTGTATTCATACTGAGATCTTGAATCTTCATTAAGCAAAATAACCTATTTAATTCATGAAGCTCCTACTGCATCAGCAAGTACCACAACAGTGCAAGGATCACTGTGGTATATATGCACTCAAAGCTGATCAAAGCAATTGCTACATATAGTAAATTATTAAGAATGTTTTTGATTATTAAATATGATAGGAAATAGCACTGCATGGATGAGTGATTACCAAATTTCTTTTAACACGTATAGAATGCTTTTCCTAAGAAATTTATATTTGCATAAAAGAACTTATCCATGCATCCCGTTTCTACCTGAAATCATCATCCCACATAGATCTACCTCAGTAAAGATATTTCCCATGCAACTTCCACCATGTCAGTGTGTAAGTTTTTCTTTCTAGAAATGATAACAGCATAGCATTCTAAGCACTAAACTCATTACAGACTCCAGAACACATATTAAAACAACATTGTAGATGGATATGATGAGAAAAATCCTTCAAAATTTTAAGAATTAAATTTTCCCCTCCATTTTTACTGAAAAATTCTTTACATAACTCACATTCTGTTCACTGATTTTACATAATTCTAATTGCACAAATTAATCATCAGAAAACTTGTGTGTGCGTGTATGTGCATGTATGTATGTATGTGTATGTTTACATAGCAACTGATGCACAGTAAGAATTATATTATAAAAATGGAGGAGTTGCTCAATTTCCTCTGATAAAAGTGTTTGGTAAGATGTTACAAACTTCAAACCACTTCTATTCGTACCATTTCTTTTCTTTCATTTTTTCCCCTTCCCTCAGATTAAATTTTAAATTGATTTGCTGATGCCAGACCATTCATGTCTTTCAATATGTCATCACAGGTAATGAACCATGCCACAGATACATTTATAAAGCTCGATTAGCTTCCTCCATCAGGAAAAGAATGGGTTGCTTTCATTTTGAAAACTTGCTCTGAAATTGTAAAATTCAGAAGAAGGGTAAAACATAAAAGCTACCCCCCCCCAAAAAAAGTTGTGAGTTTCTTGTGTTCTGTGAGCCTGGCTGTTTTATGAAAGACCAACAAGAGCCCATCAGTTTGACCCCAGGCTATATATGTTCTTTTCTGAAAGTGTTGCTGGCTGAAATAAAGGCCAATATGGACAGTAAAGAATCACAAGAGCAAAATTAAGGTTACAGGGGAATTAGAAACCCTTACTCCTTAGAAACTGAGTATTTCCTTAGCTGGTGTGATGATAAAAGTTTCTGATCTAACTCCACAGACATTTTCTCCATTTAGCTATTTGGGTCATACATTGCACTAAGACATCATTGTTTGAGGCTTAACACATTGTGTGAATCCAATAAATGCAGTTTGTAAACCATGGATTGCAAGTTCATATGAACCCAGCCAACTGTGGTTTAGTCAACAAACCACAATGAAACCATAGCTTGGAGAAAGACATTGATTCGATTAATGTCATAGTATTAGTATGGTACATTGTTCAGTTGTGATATTTGAGGTGCTAATGTACTCTTCTCCAGATTACATTATTATTACTCTCCAGTTGTTTTGGATTTCAACTCTGGGTTGGATATTACTTGGCCAGAATCCAGTGGGGTGGATAAAGCTAAATCTTGGAATGTTTTCTGGGATTCTTTGAGCTCACTGTAGTTGAGGAAATTGATAGGCTACGCTGCAGCACTATCATATATAATCATGGATAAGCTGAAAACTTGGGTGCTCCTCCCCAAAAATTGGGTTTTGCTTATTTGTGAATGGACTTATCCACAAGTATATTCAGTACAGTTCTTCTACTTTGGCTCATCTAGGTAGTTAGATAGGATGTGTAATTGCTGGATCCAGAAAGTTGTCGATGTCTCTCTGAGGGAGAAGTAATGCCAGGAGATGATTGACCACTACCTCTTGAAAAAAATCTTACTTAAATCCAACAAGTTCTTGATAATTTCTACCCTGTCTCCAGCCTGGTCCTTTTAGAGCATGGGTTCTCAACCTTGGCAACTTTAAGACTTGTGGACTTCAACTCCCAGAATCCAGCTTTGCTGGCTGAGGGATTCTGGGAGTTGAAGTCCACAAGTCTTAAAGTTGCCAAGGTTGAGGACCCCTGTTTTAGAGGAAGTTGTTGAAAAAATAGTGGTGATTCAACTACAGAAACATACTGCATTACTGTATCCATGCCAGTCAGGACTCCTACATAGTCTTGGAATAGAAACAACATAGGTTGTTCTGGTCCAGAACATCTGTCAGTATCTGGATTTCTCCCCCTTTATCCGAAGTTGAGATAATATGGATAAAGCAACAGGTCTTCTCTGTGGTGGCCCCACAATTTGGAATTCCAAACCCCCATAGATTCATAAAGTTCATTCCTTCATGGCATTTAAAAGAATATTGAAGACAGTTTATTTCACTGAGACTTCAACTTTATAATTCAGTGTTATTGCAGTCCCCCCTAAGGGAAGGACGACTTTTTGTTATAGGTTTTAATATGTTGTAACTCATCCAGACTATTTTGATTTGGGTGGACTATAAAGTAGTGTTAAATATAAAGTTGCAGATCACCCTGTCTGGATGCGCATGTCAACGCTGCTAACATTGATGTTCCCGCTCTGACAACTGATGGAAAATGCAGCTATTTTCTCTTCTCCTTTAACATGCTTTCTTGCTCTTAGAAATTAGGTGAAGTGGGGGGGGGGTGTTGGGATGAGAGCTCAGTTAGCCATAATAATAATGCTGCTGTGGGAACCCAAAGACAAGCTGATAACGTTTTGGCGGGATGAGAAGATGAGGACAAAGCCCACGCTTTAAGCTAATTGGGGAATGTGCTTTATGACACTTTATTGGGGGTGGGAATTGCACTTTGCTACTTTGTATCGGGGGGGGGGAAGGGAATTTAGTTTTGGGTTCAGCTATGTAGTGCTGATACTTTGTTTCCTGAATAAAATGTTCTTTCAGGAAGAATTTTTCCTTGAAGTTCTTTTGATGGGTTTCATCTATCAGAACCATGACAACGCATTTAGAAGATGCCTGTATAACAGAACTTCAGCACAAAGTATAAAACCTTTGCCTCACGTTTGTTGATCCATCCACAGCCAGTCTCTTGATAGGTGAGAGCCACATGACTGGCTAATGTTATTCCTGTTCTCAAACCTGGAAAAATAAGAAACTAATGAATTCAGATCAGTCAGTCTGAAATTAATACCTAGGAAGATTCCAATGCCATAAAGCAAGATTCTTCTTACCAGAAGTCAGCACAGATTTGTCAAAAACTTGTCAGACTAATTTTATTTCATGTTTTCCATCAGATAACTTCTTGTATAAATTTTGGAAATTCTGCAGTCATAATATACTATACATGTAATAAATGTAATTATGTTTTCATCCTATTTAACAAAGATAAATACAAAGTTTACTTAGGAAAAAAATCAAATGCATAGGCATAAGGTGAGAAATCCAATGCACAGGAATAAGGTGGGAGATAGCTGACTGCTAACAGCATGCGTGAGAAGAATCTTAGATCTTACTTGATCACAAGCTGAACATGAGTCAGCAGCATGACATAGCTGCTAAAAAGGCAAATGCATTTTTAGGCTACATTATTAGAAGCATAGTTTCCAAATGATGAAAAATAAACTAGATAGGATGTTTTTTTTAAGAATGTGAAGGGAAAGAGATCAGGGATTTAAGCTGCTTCCAAGAATTTTGTCCAACACAATATTAATCTCTCTAACTAAGAAGAAACCATCCATGGACATGCACAAAGTAATGTTCCTTCAAATTCATTACTTAAGCATAGAAAAGATTAACTAGTTAAGGTTTCAAGAGATAAATGCAATGTTAAATTATATTCCAAAAATGTGGAACTTGTCTATGCAAGAAGATTTTGGGGTATATTGTGTTTGGGCAAAAAAAAAAAAAAAAGTGATTTTGATATCCTTGAAAAGATGTGGGTCTACTGAATTTTAAGGTTGGGTTTAATGATATATGACCATTCTTAGCCTTCTGTCTATTATTACTTATGGATCAGGTTTAATTCATCAAACAGCATATTGATTAATTGCTTATGTGACATCAAATTATTTTCAACTCCTAGTGAACACATTGATTTCTTTTCCCCATTACTGTCTCTGACTAGGTCTTTCAGCTTTCTAACAGTGCACTCATTGCCAGGGTGAGTCCATTCACCTTACTTCTAGTCATATTCTTCCTCTTTTTCCTTCCACCTTTCCCAGCATTTGAGTCTCTTCCCAAGAGCTAGATCCGTGCATAATGTGTCTCAAGCAGGATAATTTGGGCTTGATCATTTGCCTCAAGGAAGAACTCTGGAATGATTTGTTTGATGATTCATTGGTTTGTTTCCTTTGCTGTCCACAGTATTCTCAGGAGTCTTCTATGCCAAAGTTCAAAAGAGTCAATATCCTGCTTCTTCAATGATCAACTTTCACTTCCATAGAGTGTTACAGGGAATACCCTATACAGGGAGTTCTGGTTAATGATGGTGATTGGGACCAGAATTTCTGGAATTTCTGCATCAAGTGATGTAGTCATAAAGTGAATATATTGCTTAGCAATGCCAATCCTGGCAGTCCCTGTTGCCATTATTAAGTGAGGTTTGTAGGACATTAAGCATGCATCTCCTCACATCTAGTGTAGTTAGAGTCTGGCTAGTAGAGAAAAGAAGGACTAGAGGTGACATGTTAGCAATAGTCCAGTATTTGAGGGGCTGCCACAAAGAAGAGGAGATCAACTTATTTTCTAATGCACCAGAAGGCAAGGCAAGAAACCATGGATGGAAACTAATCAAGGAGAGATGCATCCTGGAATTAAGGAGAAACTTCCTAACAGTGAGGACAATTAACCAGTAGAACAGCTTGCCTTCAGAAATCGTGGGTGCTCCATCACTGGAGGTTTTTAAGAAGAGTCTAAACAGTTACTTGTCTGCAATGGTATAGACAAGGTCTCCTGCTTGAGCAGGGGGCTGGACTAGAAGACCTTGAAGCTTCCTTTCAACTCTATTCTGATTACATTATTACCTGCCTGCTGGCTTCCAACAACCAAAGTAAGTGGAAAGCTGGCAGGAGGCTGCAAGTCCCAGTTAGCTTGTACTGTAAGTAAGGAGGCAGACAGATAAGTGGTTGCTGCAAATTGGGGAAGGGTGGACGGGGGTGTGGAAAGAGCTGATGTGTGAAATCTGAGTGCAGTAGGGCTTAGGATGGCTGCTGCTGGATGGGGGGGCATATGAGGATATAGTATGAGAGGCTGGTATGGCCCAAGTGTGTTAGGGTGGGGGTGGTTGCTGCAGGGTGCAGAAGGGCCCATGAGGGGCTGGTGTGGCATAATGCAAGTGCAACAGGGCTTGGAGTGGCTGATGCTGGGTGAGGCAGGGCACACAAAGGTGTACAAGTTGCCACTGTGGCACAAGTGCATGGGGGTGGGGGTGACTGCTGAGGAAGTCTTACCAGAGCCATTTGTAACCTTCCCTGTCAGCTTCTCCATTGATTTTGCTTGTGGGAAGCAGGGAAGAAAGATTGAAAATGACATTCATGTGACTCTGGGATGCCACAACTGTTATAAATGTGAGTTGGTTGCTTAGTGCCCAGATCATGGTTATGGCCAGAACTTCGAGGATGGGTCATAAACAGTGGTGGGATTCAGCCAGTTCGCACCAGTTTGGCAGAACCAATAGCTAATTTTTTGTGGCCCAGGCCCAGAACAGACTTTCGGAAGCGGCTTCCACACAGAGAACCGGTTGTTCACATGTTTGAATCCCACCACTGGTCATAAGTACCATTCATTCAGTGCCATCATAACTTTGAACGATCACTGAATGAGTGGTTCTAAATAGGACCACCTGCATTAGCATTATTTTGAAACTATATAAAATTAAGTTTCTTTTTCTTCCCCTTTTATCTTTGCTATTTTCTCTTTCCCTTACTTTTGCTGTTTGTGTATTTAAGGTTTGTTTCATACTTTTTATATTTTGAATGAAATAAAATTTCTTTGAAAATATATTAAAACTTAAAATGTTGCTGAAAAAAACCCTCCCAAACTAAAAAAAAAAAAGATCCAGGCTTGCTTTCTATTATTCCAATCTGCAAACTAATTAAGTTACAGGAAGGCAGATTCAGACTGAATAGAGGGAAAACTTTTTAACAGTGAAAGTGGTTCAGCATGGGTGGGAATGGGCAGGAGTGATGGCTGGATTCCCTTCACTGGGTGAATGGAAGTGGAGGCTGAATAGCCTTCTGTGGGAGAATTCTTCCATTGGGATTCCAACCATGAGTGGAGGCATGAATTAATAGTCTAAACTGCCTCTTCAACTTCTTTAAACCCATGACATATGATAGTAATGGAGTCTGTCCTTAAGACCATATGCCATTAATGTCAACCACAGGAAATCAGAAGTCCAGGCAATTCAGATGAATATATAGGTTTTTACATGTGAACATTCTCCACAAGAATCTGAACTACTGATGGTCAAAGCAAATTGGTGGTAGATAAACATCAACGGATTTCAAGGTGGGTTGGACTTAAGATCTGTGTGAAGGGATTCAAGACTGATGACACATTTGACCCGTCCCTCAGGCTCGGCCTGGTCATATCCTACCTGGTCATAAAATGGGCCAGTCACGTGACTAACATGATTTTACAACCTTTTTGCAGCAGCCATTAAGTGAACCACCATGGTCATTAAGCTCATTACGAGCTTTTTTATCGAAAAATCAGAAGTGCCACTTTTATCGTAAAACACAGTCACCATTTAAAGCCACTTTTCTTTCTTCCAACACAAACTAAAATAAAATGCACTGAACATCTAAACTGCTATTTTAAAATTAAAGAAGCTATTTAGGTACTATAGAAGTTTCATAATAGGAAACAAGTAAAGTGTGGAATTGCGACAAAGAAGAATTAAAACCTTCAGGGCTACAAATAGGATGCGTTGAAAAATGTCACATGGGAGATTCATTGCCCATAAGACCTGTGATGAGAATAAGTGCCCCATTTCCAAAACCCTTTGTGAGACACCTATTTTGTAGACCATTCAGGCAAACCAAATCATTTCCTGGAATGTAGCTCCTGAAGTTAAGGAGGATTTTTTTACAAGCTATGATATAAAATTATGCCGAAGGCCACTAGTCATATAATTGGGTCTCATAGAGATGCATTGCTTGATAAAGAGAATACTGTTTCATGCATATCTACTTTTGCTGTCCCCTTAGCAACATAAATTATTCAGGAAAATTTCCCAGAGAAACCAGATAAATCTATTTATTTTTAAACTGCCTTTCTCTCTAAGAAATATCCTGAAATAGTACATTTATTATTTTTTTATAAACTGTCTGAACCATCTAATCCTAAATGAAAATAATTACTAGTATTTGAACAATGTCTCCATTAAACATCTCTTACATGTTACTTTTGTGTGTTACTTCCACACTGATCTTTGCCTCCTGTATCTACTGTTTTCCCTTTCTTTTCAGCTTCTGGCTTCAGTCCTTTGGTTTCATGACATACCTTGTAATTTGTGAAAGTAACTACAGGTATTCCTCACTTAAAAACTGCCCTGTTTAGCAACCATTCAAAATTGTAACAGCGCTGTCAGCCCTCCCAGATATACCAGACACAGCACCTCACTAGATGAACTAATTCTACTTTATTGTAAGGCAACATTAACAAAATCTTGCAGGTTTGAAAGTACAAACTTCCTGCCACCACTTTCAACTGCCTAATCCAGGGGTAGGCAACCTTGGCTCTTTTATGGCTTGTGGACTTCAGCATGGCTGGCTCAGGAATTCTGGGAGTTGAAATCCACGAGTCATAAAAGAGCCAAGGTTGACTACCTCTGGCCTAATCAATTAGGGCAAGTCACACGTTACATTACAAACACTGAGAAAGTATCTCGATGATTGGTTCCTCGCACTTTCAACCATCACAGCTAGTGGGCATTTACAGTCATAGTGTTCCTTGAACACTACAGTCATAGTGTTCCTTGATCATGTGATCACCATTTGCGAACCTCACAGCTGGCTTCCAACAGACAGAGTCAAAAGAGAAGCCAGGATGAAATTGCAAATCAAAGTCAGATGATACCTTGCTTAATGACCGTATCACTTAGTAACAGAGTTGCTGATCCCAATTGTGACCGTTAAGTGAGGACTATCTGTAACTAATTCCATCAACTTCATCCAGCATTCTGCAAAGATTTTAACTTTTATTATGGGCTGGGTGGTATCATAATACGATAATCTTGATGAAGAAATGCACAAATCATTGAACTAAATTAAGGAACAACTCAGTTCTGGAAAAGAAGGAGGTGAGAGAAAGAAACTCAAAATAACTTTACCTTGCTTCTGTTTGGTATAAGAGTGGGTAGATTCTGGCAGGCTTTAAGATTCTATTATTATACCCTATACTCTGTCATTCCTGAAAACCTTGCTCTGTTCTCTGATCTGAACTACCTTGAAGGGCTGGCATGTGTTAAGTGTAGGTGGCAATGTTTTAATAATTGTGTAATCCTTAACTCTTTGATTTTACATTGTCAATGGTCTTCTAAATTAGTCTTCCCCAGTCTGGCTCCTTCTAGCTGCAGTTTCATCATAATTCCCAGCCATCGTGCCCGCTCATGCTGGCTAGAAATATTGGGACTTGTAAACCAGTGTATCTGGAAGGTGCCAGGCTGAGGAAAATTGTTGTAGACAATTGACTGTGGATGTTTGTGTGTCAAGGGAAACAATGGTCATTATTACCATTCTCAGTACATTGTTTTTATTGCAGTGCAGGAATATGTATTGTGATTGATTAACCAATCATGAAGCAATTAATGGTCTAATAAAATATCTGCATTGACTGCCAGCCTTATTTCCCATCCAGGACATTTTAGGAAACAAAATTAATGCTCTATTCATGTGGTTTTATCTGTACTACAGCAGAAGTGGGCAGAACTCACTTTTCATAAGAACCTCCATGTTCCAAGTATTTGGGTGCAAAATGGCAGCTCAGGCAGGCAGGCACAGAAGAACAAAATATCTCAGTTTGAGGCTGAATTTCAGAATTCATTTCCAGCACCAGAGCCAAAGATCATGCATCTGTCCTTTTGCCAAAACTTCTATTTGGATATTGTCCATATTTTTCTTTCTTCAGCAGCTAATTAGGAAGAGGAAAAGGTATGTTTTACTGTCATTATCATTCAGCTATTATTACTCAGAACCTTTTAATGATCTGTCATAAACCATTCATGGAACTACTGGAGGATCCCAATTTATTTTCTACCCTGTAATTTATATTCTTTCAGGGCTTCCTAACTCTGCCTGTACCATCATAGACACCTTCCTTGCAATGACACCAAGGGAAAATTATACAAAAATGGATAAGTTGTTAATAGGCGGTAGAAATGTTCCATGCTGGAAGTCTGCCTAATTTGGATCCTATCACCTAACTATTTCAGTTTGTTATTCCTTTCTCCATATCATCTAAAACTGTTATAAGATACAATGTTATCATTGTTCATTTTATTATTGCAAAATGTCTTGTCTTTCCTTCAACTGGGTTAAGAACTGTCCTTGACTTCCCATCCCTCCTTTTGGTCTTATAAGGATTTTGTCCAAAGTCAGAGCAATGGTCAAGTAGCAGATATCATGAGAGAAATCTAATATTTTGAGTTCTAGGTTGACATGTAACTGCTCATCCATGCTAGTTTTCATTCAATTAGCATGTTTAGAAGCTTCAAGGATTCTCCGGATATATTGTCTTATAGTTCTTAATAAAAGATCTTCTGGATTTTTGATTAGAAGAGAATGTTGAAGGGAGACTTCATATATCATAGCTTAGTATCATATGCTTCCATTCCTTTGATTAAATGGAATTTATATGTTTTACAAATAGAGCAATTGCAAGCCATATAATTGCAAAATTGTGAATCTGATCATTTTAAAAACAAGATTTATATCGTTTTCTATAGTACATCTCATACTTTCAGTGTGGAAATTTACCAGTTGGGTCTATCTAAGGGCAATGAATGTATTGTCATTTTTCAGCAAAACTTGGATTTCCCATATTGATGACTACTTAGCGAATTACCTTTTTCTGAATGTATATACTGTATGCCTTACACAATATCATATCTTTGTGTTACACACAAAGACTTGCACAGGAAGTCTCTCTCTGCTCCGTAAAGATCTCCGATGGCTAGAGCTTCCTCCCATACCGCTGACCTGTCAGACTTGTCCACGTGAACTTTCGGTTGAGTCCCAGTTGAAGTTGACACAAGTTTGGAAGAGTACAAAAGTAAAATTATCACTACTTATAGCACTGTTGTCTTCATTCCTGTAACTATTTGTAGAGAAGCGCCATTCATTCTACAAACTGTGAAGTAATTATTCTTAAATTTTGCACCCTCCTCTCCTCGTTCTGTCATTGCCTAAGTTTGCTGAAGTTTGGCTTGTTGTCAAGCTTAAATAACAGCTTTAGAATAAAGAATAAGAATAACTGAGCAGCATTAGAAAGGCTACAGATTTCTCACCTCTAGCCTATATAATTATTTGACAATAGTGGTCTGATGGTCCTGCTTTGAACAGATTCTTTTCTTGTTCTTCTCACAATTGCCCAGTAAAATTTCAAGGTCTGATTCAATAATGCCCAAACATTGTTCTGTTGTTTTTCTTTCAGACAAAAATTCATCCACATAGAAAGCCAAGTGTTAGGAGCAGTGTTTAAAGCTAACATTTACGTGTAACCTACCCCCAGAGTTGTTTTGGACTTGGAGGCCTCTAAAACTATATTATGGCTGATTGGGATAGGCAGATGTTGCTTTTGATGATACTAAAGGTTTTTCCAGAGAATGTAAATGTTCCAAAAAAAAAGCTGCCTTTTGCAATTGACTGCTGGGGATTTTGTCAATGCTGATGGTGTTTAAGTGATGCTACAATCGTTTTGGAATTGCACTCAAAGGATCTATTACTATTGGTACTATTTTTGCTTTCTTTTGCCTTGGTCATTCTACTTCTGTTTGCTGTTCTTTGTATTTTATGATTTTCTCCTATTCCGCTGTCTCCAGATACTGCCATGTCCACTATCCAGACTGTTTTTGCCTTTCTTTTCAACAACTTTTAAATTTGGGTTGCTGTGTGGCAGGAGCTTGTCTGTTTCAATCTAAAGTCCCAGAGCATGTCATTTTCTATTACTTTGTCTATTTTGTGGTCCCACCAGTTCTTGCTTGCAGGCAACTGGTATTTCTTGCAGATATTCCAATGTACCATTGTTGCTACTTTGTCATGCCACTGTTTGTAATTAGTCTGTATGATCTTCTTGCAGCTATCTTCTCAATTCTGACTTTATGTGAATTGTTATGAAGGCTTGGACTCGTGCAGCCAGAATTAGTCCCTCTGCCTCTTTCTTCAGCTATCCTGCTCTTAGCCATTGTCAATTTTTGTTGTTATTTATTTTGCCTGCTAGGTATTTTGGTATACTGGCCATGTAATACTTTGCCTAGCTATGTTTCTTTTCTATTTTTCAATTAGTGTTTCTTATAGGCCAGTTTGGCCTATATTCAGTAAGCCTTCATGGTGTACTAGCTTTAATGCATCTTCTTCATGATCCTTCAATTATTCTTCCAGTTCTTTTCTTTTCTTTCTTCAACTGTATGGCGTACTTGCAAAATTCCATGCCCGCCTTACTTACCTCCTTGGTAAATGGCGCCTGTCAACATGATTGCACAGATGAAGGGTATGATTCATTGTCATTATTTTTCTGGTCTTCCTATCCAAGGCTTCCAGTTCTATTTGAGTTTAGTCCATTATTCCAGCTGTATATCTAATGACTGAAATTTCCCAGGTTTTCTTCTGCTGAGTTTGGACTTTAATATCTTTTTAAATCTATTCACTACTAACCTTCTTCTTGACTTCAGTGTCCTTGATATTGTAAGCCTGAAGGATGCTCAAGTATCATCTTCTTCCAGATTCTTGTTGTTATTTCCACAGGGCCATTTTACTTCTTATGTTTTCACTATTTTCCCCCTGTTGATGGTAAGGATGGTATATTTGTCTGGTCCAAACCCCACTGCAATATCTTGGCTGTATATACAGACTGTGCCGAACAATTATTCCATGTTAGGTGGTGTTTTTTCATATGGCTTCAGATCATCCAGGTAAAGGAGATGGGATAATCTAGCAGATGTTTTTGATGTTTGATGTCCATGGCCTGACTTGTTCAGTATTGCTGACAGAAGAATCAATGCAATGATAAAACATAATGGTGACAGTTTATCACCTACTGACCAGCAACTGTGTCTTCCATTGTGCCATTGATCTTTGCACAAAACTTCTGATGTTTCTATTGACTCTGTTATATCTAGGCATTTGATTATCTAGTCACAGGGCAGGAGTTTAAAGTCTTCTTGTAATCAACCTATGGCACATTCAACTTGGCCTTCCTTCTCTTGCAATTTTAGCTTCTTAGTCCTTTTTTTTAGTTTTTTTTAATCCTGCTTTTATTATTTTTATAAATAACTCAAGGCAGTGAATATACCTAATACTACTTCTTCCTCCTATTTTTTTTTTTTTTTTACAAGAACAGGGCTGTTAAGTGAGTTGGGATGAGAGAGAGAGACTGGCCCAAAGACACCCAGCCAAATATGAACTAGAATTCATAGTTTCCTGGTTTCTAGCCTGGTGTTTTTAACACTAGACATCACCAAAATAAGAGAGTTTTGTTTGGTAATCTTTGCTTCCAGTGACACTACTATTGACTCCTCCTGATTTGCCCCTACTGTCTGAGCTACTTCTGGCAAGGCTTTGATTTCTTTGCCCTGGCTAGACCTTTGCCACTCTTCCAATTCTGTTCCGTGAATATATTATTTCATAGCCTCTTTATGATTCTGAATGCTATTCTTTTCAGAACTGGTGCATTCTTTTCAAATATCCTCTTTTCACTGAACTTGATTTGTAATACAAATAATTATTTCTTTCTTTTCAGTCTTTTTATAGCTGCAACAGGCAAGCAACTTTTCTTCCAGCAGTCCTGCAGCTGTTGACCTTGAGTCCTATAGCCCATTTGTCACCAGATGTCGAAGAATTCCAACACCTAGTACAGTGCTTGTTAACTTGGGCAATGACTGATACAGTATGGGATTCTGTAAATTCTGTAAATTTTGTCTCACTATATTGTCTCTGAAGGGACACTATTCATCTGACTTCCCTGATGAGACCTGTTGAAACTCTGGCATAGCACTCATCTTCTTCAGAACATGCAGGCCTCACAACTTCATCAAGGTAGCACCTCACTGGGGATATTATTATCATGGTTGGTCACACAGTCAGCCAAATGTTTAAACGGGATTTGGCATTTTTATTCACATATCCCTAGGAAAAGGCAGATATTGCTTTTGATGGCATTAAGCTTTTGGTGTAAGCTGTTCCAAGAAAAGCTGCCTTCTGGAGGTGATTTTATCAATGCTGATGATGTTCAAATGATGCTCCAGATGTTTTGGAATTGCACCTACAGTAAGGCACCTATTATTATTGGTACTATCTTTGCTTTCTTTTGCCACAGTCATTCTATTTTTATTTGCAGATCTTTGTGTTTTGTGATTTTCTCCAGGTTATTCTGCTGTCTCCAGATACTGCATCATCCATTAGCCACACTTTTTTGACAGTCAAATGCTTTCTTGGACTCATTCAAGTTGGTCTTCCTTCTCTTTCTCATTCACTTTTCCAAAATCACCTTGTCCATTAGGAGCTGATTTTTTGTTCCTCAGCTGTTTGGGCAATTTTCTTTCCGCTCAGGTGGAAAAAGCTTGTTTTCAACTAAATGCTGTTGAACTGCATCAGCTACCACACCAGTTAGAAATCTGAAAGTTGTTGGTAAGCAGATAATTGGCCTGTAGTTGCCTATTGCTGCCCCATTTGTTAGAGCGTTCATTATTGGGTAGGTTTTCCAGATGTTAACCAATCTTCAATTTCAACTCCTGACACTGTGTTGTTAAACTGCTTGGCAATGAGTGTGTATAGACCAGTCAGATGTTTCAACCAAAAACCTTCCATTATTATTACAAGTTCTTTCATTTCAGCTTCTTTTTTATTCTTATCCATTTCCTTTATCCATGTTGCATTCTTGTTATATTTCTTTGGTTTTTCCTACAGTTATACCCAAAACTGCGCTATTTCTTATTTGTTATTTGTTGACTGGTTCAGTGCAGTCTCTCTATGAAAGGATTGGTAGAAACATTTTTTATTTGACTGAAATTGGAAATTCTGCTTATAATGTGCAGTTTGAGCTCCATATCTGCTGATCTTTTTAGCTATAGTTGTCATTTGCTGATTTATTATTTCCAATGCTTCCTTGATCATCTTTGTTTCTAGGTAATATTTTTGATCAGGTATTCTTTAGTATTCTCGTTCTTTAACTTTTCATTCATCTGTTCTAGCTTGCTTGCATCTGATTTTAGCATGCTGGTTTTATTTTCTAACCTGATCTTCCATTTTGGCTCCCCCCCCTCATTTGTTGATTTTGCGTCCAAGGTATTGAGTTATAACTGCAGCCATGCTGTACATTAGTATGTCTGTTTCTTGCAGTGAGCTAGTACTAATATTTGATACTATAGTACTGACACCTTTTAATACTTGTGCTAGCTGTTTCTTTGTTACAACATATAACACATGCAAACGTATTCTGTTATTTTTGTGCTGTTCTAAATGCTTAGTAATTCTATATTTTAATTCTTCTTGCTTTTTTGTTAGAGGACTTTGTTAGAGAAGCCAAAAAAGAAGGTGCCTCGTTTAGGAATGAAAACAATTCAATAGCTGTGGTGGTTTCCTCTACTATCTACTCTCCCTGGTTTGCCTCCACACTCTAGGCTACATCTGGAAAAGCTTCAAAATTATTATTTCACTATTTACTTATTGGTCAGCAAGACATGGATATTCATACAGACAGGTGTGGGGGAGACTAAATATTTAAGTACTTTCTACCTGAAGGGTCACATTCCACGGATAAAACAGCTGCCTTTGTGAGATTTGGAAACTGTAATTTCCATGCTGAGCAAGAACTCACAAATTAATCTGACTTTTCTATAAATACAAATAACACAAAAAGCTGCTTCAAGGTAGGTGCATATCAGGGAATTGCACAACCAGTGTCCAAATGAAGTCAGAGATACTGACACAAACTTGTAATTTTATATAAATAAATATATTTTACATTTATATTTACAGCAAACAAGATAGTCAGGCACATCACTACATCATGAGGTAAATCATCAGGTAAAATCACAGAACAGCATACACAGCACACAGAAGAAAAAGGCATGGGGGGGGAACCCCCCTTTACACCCAGCAACCAATCATAATGTAGAACGTCTCATGCAGGAGCCCACATTCTCCAACCAATCAACTATCATTGTCTGTTCTGGCCCATTATCCACTTTACTCTTCCAACTATCAAATTAAATATCTTCACAGCTCAAATCTTGGTAACTGTTTGGATAACTTACGCCATTTTCTTGGCAACAATTTAGACATGGTTTTTCACTGTTTTAGGAAGGTTTTTTTTTTTTAATTTATTGGTTTGGCCTAAAGACCAGAGATTCCCTGAGAGTTCCTTAAAGTACTAACCAAACCCAAATATTTCTGAGCCCAGACAGGACCAGTGAGTTGCTATTATCTGCTGACATACACAAAGAGTGGCCTTTAAAAGCAATTTTGGCATGGGGAAAAGGCTAGTGCTATGATATAACCAACATAATGCAACTGAAAGAGCAATGGAAAAGGAAAGCAAATGGTACCAGAAATGTAAATCAACATTAGCAAATTGGAGCTGCCATCTGATGGAAAAGGTACCACTGGATGTTTTATCAGCAGCACAAAACCTGGAGAAATAGTTTTGTACAACATTATGTTCCTACTTACCCTGGAATAGATGCAAATCCATTCCCACAAGGGAGTACAGCAGGTGTCTGTCTGCTTGTCAGGTTCTCAACATGTTGAGAAGATGGGGGAAAGAAATGTGTGTGCAGTCTTCTGTAGGCATGTTCTTTGGCAGTGATTTAATAGAAATACAAATACAATTCATATCTACATGTTATCACAAAGCCAAAAGCATTCAAAAAATTCTGTAAAGCTGGGTTAACAGTTAAAGCAACATCAATATGCAATTCACTGAGAAAAAAAAAAACATTTTATTTGCTACAATGAACCTGCTGTGAAATTCTGTACAGATCTCTAACTCACTTAACTAATGGCAAGAACATGCAAAAAAAAGGCACATAAATTAAAAGTCTATGACCATGAAATGGAGGTTGAAATTGATTATGTAGTATCAAGGTGGTGTTGATTCTTAGTGACCAGTAGATATTGTCCATTACAATCTTTCCCTAACCTGTTTTTCAGATCTTCCAGTGGTGTGCCCATTGTCACTGTAACTGAGTCCATCCACTGGGTCATCCTCTTCTTTTCCAAGCAGGTAGGTCTTTGTATAATATATCCAAAGTATAACAATTTGAGCTTGTTTGTTTATTCCTTGAGTGAGAATTCTGGGTTGATTGTTCAGTGATCCATTGTTTTCTTTTCTTGGCTTCTCCAACCCCCAAGTTTAAAAGTGTCAATATTCTTCCTCTTATGCTTGTCACAAGGAGTTCCATTGTTTCCGTTATTCTGATCTTTGTAGATATAGACATATCATGGCACTTGTATATCTTTTTCAAGGAGAGTGAAATTAGGATGATTAAACACAGTCACCACTCTAAAGCAGGGATACACAATGTTGGGATTTTAGATGCAATCTAGTAAACATAGTCAGTTGATGCAACCAAAAATTGCATGGTGCAGAGGAAATAGAGTGCTCCAAAATTATGAGGTAAATAGAGGTACAGATTGAGGAAAAGGATAACAAAAACTCAACCTGCTTACACTGGAATGGAAGTTTAACTAGGCTCAAAGATCAGATAGTTGGAGGAGGGATACAATGGAAGAAACAGTGTAGATTGGGAGGAGGTAGAAAATTATTTCAGAGATTGTAGAAAAGTCCAGGCTTAGATATGGAAAAGCAGAAGAGGGACAGAGAGGAAGGAAATGTATTTGAAATCATCACAGCTGAGGGTCTTCTTCCTCAAAGAAAGACTTCTAGAGGTAGTAGAGGTGAAAGAAAGGAAAGTACTAGATTCTTCCTGCTGCTCTTTGCCTATCTGGGATTCCATTCTCTATAGCAGGGGTGTCAAACTGCCGGCCCATAGGCCGGTTGCATCATGCGGAGGCTGCACCCACCCCAGCTCTGGCAATGGAAAAAAAAGCCACAATACATTGCGATACGTCACGTACCCTATATCCAAGAAGGGAGAAGGCAACCAATGGAGTGCAAAGGAGTCAAGAAATTAATTGTTATTCTGGCCAATATGGATAGTTTTACCAGCAAGCAAATTCCTAGGGGATAGGTTGAAGGAGCCTTGGAACTAGGAGGGCTGGATGAAAAAGCAGACTGGAATCTTATGAACCAAACTGGAAGAGATCTACACTAGAAAGAAGGATTAAGAAGAAAGAGTAGGGAGAACAGCTATGTGAGCTTTTAGAGAGACAGCTGTTTACCATGAATACATTTTCAGGGAAGAGGACATAAATGCTGTTAAAGTAGAGTAGATGAACTGCATCTTTAAGGAGCTTGGTCAGTTTGTTATAGGAGAGAGAGAAAGGACTGGTCACTTAGAAAAAAACACTTCCAGGTGGAACCCTGGGAAAATCAGCCCCTTTAATTCAATAGTGTTGTTTAAGGTTCCCATTGTACCTGTAACATTAGTTCAAGAACTCATACAAGCTAAATTAGAACACATAAAATGAAAAAGAGGGAAATAACAGAAAAGTGGAATAAGAAAGAAGAAACTCCAAAAAGAGAAAAAGAGGGAAAGGTATGAAGGTATAAAGAAGTAGCTTTCAACATTGTTCACAGCAGTTATAGGTACAATTATATTTTAACCTCTTTCTCTAAGGTAACATCATGACTCTCTTCTTTCTCTAATCTATCCTATCTAATCATCAAAACAATAAATCACAAGTTCACTTTTTTCATCTTTGTGCAAAAAGTCCAGAAGGGGTTTCCAGTCACCAATTATAGATGTTAGCCTTTCTTTAATCAAAGAAGTCAATTTTTCCATCTCAGCAGGTTCTGCAATTTCACCATCATTCCTCCAGCAGCAGGCTTGATTAGAATAAATTCTACTGGAACTGTGGACCTCGCTGGGGAATTGACTTTTGAATTCAGACCAACTTCTGTGTGTCAAACTGGCGGCCCGTGGGCTGGATGCGTCACGTGCAGGCCATGCCCACCCCAGCTCTGCAAAGGGAAAAAATGTTGCGATACGTCACGATACATCTTGTGACGTGATCGAGTTTGACACCTGTGCAGGGATTACAGAGGTTCTTCAGCAATCCAGCATACATAAGAAACATAGCCAATAGTCAAAGATGCTGGTTTAGATCTAGAGTGATATGAAGAGACCTACAGGTGATTCTGACATAATATAGAAAACTGTTGTTGTTGTTAATTGCGAAGTCATGTCCGACCCATCGCGACCCCATGGACAACGTTCCTCCAGGTCTTCCTGTCCTCTACCATCTTCTGGAGTTCATTTAAGTTCACGCCTACTGCTTTAGCCACCTCATTCTCTGTCGCCCTCTTCTTCTATTGCCCTCAATCTTTCCCAGCAATCTTTCCCAGAAAACTGTGTGAGGTTACTAATCCTTCCTTAATCAGAAGCTGTATATTATTTCTAATGGAAAAATGATGAAGCAACACTTCAATATCTCAAAATAGAAAAGCATCACATTTTGAAAACATATATTTCATATTCATCAGTGAGCAGATACCATAAACAATATTCAAATGATATAAAGTTCCCTAAACAGAGGCCTCCAGATGTTCCTTTACTACAGTTTCTAGCAGCCCTAGACAAGGTAGCCAATGGTGAAAGTTGCTAAGCAGCTGCATGACTACAAATTTTCAGCACAAGGCTTGGATGAAGATCCACCGTGTACCAGCCTGCTTACTTAGAAGGGCAGCTGTTTATTCAGCTCATATTTGACTCTTTTAGGTAGCCATTGTTGTAATCTTTTCAGAGTGATTTTGTGGTTAGACTAAACCTTTAGTTAGGAAGAAAAGTAAATGGGTAGAAAAACAGTTCTGAGAAGTCCAGATGGCATGATACGTAGTCCAAAGCTGTATTTCCAAGATGTACTCAAACATGGTTAACTTAGTTAATCCAGTTTGCTGGGTTTGCATAACATGATAAACTACCCACTAACCAGTTGGGTTGTGGATTAAAAAGTGTCTGCCAAGTTTGTTGTACAATATGACATGAAAATACAGCTCAAATCTTTAAGATTGTTTCTCCATCAGGCTCCAGGGGAAAATATTTGCCTACTGCTAGATTTTTATGCATGGAATAGATACAGCTCATACGAGAACCTTTGCATATTGACACATCCTAACCATGAAATGAGCTTTTATTGCACTAAATGGAAGCCTGACATTTACTTCACTCCACTATACTGAAAAAAAGGGGGAAAATAGACTAGGAGAAGGAGTATTTAAAAAATATTTTACACTCATGTTACAGTAGCACTTTATGTAATTAACAGTCAAGTTTAATTAAACATTGATTAGACAGTAATTAGTCTAATGATTAGTCACCTGGAAGAGATGAAGCATAAATATACACTGAGGCTGCCAAATGATGGGAGGAAATGGGGAAAATGATAAAGGAGCAGATTAGTTGCAGGTCTCAGGTTCTGTTCCCTGAGGGCTAAATACTTTGTGTTATTCAGATGTATTATAAATGGTACTTCCAGCCTGATTTCTTCTAATCAGCAAAAAAAAAAAAAAAAAAAATCTGCTTGTGTTTCCTGTGTGAGAAATTAAACTAAAATTGAATTTATCTCCCTGTTCTATCAGATTTTGCCTTGTAAATGCAATTAAACAGTTTTTGCCTCACTTAGTGAAAAATTGGCTCATTCTGTTTAATGAAGTTTGCTATGGATTTAAGGTACTCCTCCCCAAATATAATACAGAAAGGTTGGCTCTATTAGATTAATCTGGCCCAGACGACTAAAGGGTCTTCAGTGGGTTGCAGAGGCAGCTTAGAGTTTACTTAATTGACGACAGAAAGGCGTTTGGTTGTGTTGATTAGCTCAAGCTGTGAAAAGTGCTCAGAAAAATGGGAATTCCAGAACATCCCATTGTCTCCATGAGAACCATATAGGCAGTTCAGGAAGTCACAATATGGACAGAACATGGTGGAAAAGATTGGCTCCAGGGTTGGCAGTGGAGTGAGACATGGTTATATGCCCTCCCCTTATTTATTCAACTTACATGCTGAATATATATTAAAGCTGGATTGGAAGATGATCATGGTTTTAAAACTGGGCAAGGAAAAGTCAATAACCTCCTCAATGCTAACGACACAATCCTGACACTAAATATGCAAAGGAACTGCAAGTGCTAGTGATGAAAGTCAAGGAGTGTACTGAAAACATTAAATGTAAAGAAGACCAAACTAATGACAACAGGGAGAACAACCAGCCTTGGAATTGACAATTATCTAAATGATAGATGGCCTTTTAGAATCAACTGTCAACAGTAAAGGAATAAGCAGCCAAGAAATATGCCACAGGCTAGCCCTTGGCAGAGTGGCCACGTAGGCCTGGGAAAAGATTCAAATGCCATGATGTATCCCTACCTCAAAGATCAGACTTGTACAAGACATGGTATTCCCTGTGACACTTTATGGAAGTGAAATTTGGACTTTGGAGTAGCAGGATAGGAAGATATGACCATTTTGAACTTGTTGTTGGAGAAGACTGATGAGACTACCATGGACAGCTAAAAAAAGAAATCAATGGTTCATCAAATCAACTCAAAGTTGTCACTCAGGACACAAATGATCAGTCTAAAATTATCCTACTTTGGCCACATTATGAAACTTCTGCTTCTCTGGAGAAGTCTCTGATGCTGAGAAAGGTGAAAAGAAAGAGGATAAGCAACAACATGGTGGATGGACTTAGTTTTAGTGATGATAAGTGCACTGTTAAAAGTTCTGAAAGACCAGGTTTAGGGTCAGATCATCATGGAGAAAATCAATCCATGTGAGTATTAAGAGTCAACAATGACTTGATCTTACTTTCTACCTGGAATGAGTATGTGATTAGCTTCAGTTCACATGTGGCCCTTCCCTGTGAACTCATTGGGGATTTTAGAGCTCCAGAAGATAAAACAACAAGAGATACCAAGAGAAAAGACTGAACGTGTATGAGCATGTGAAAGAACCTACATGAGGGATTGCACAATGGCAGAGAGTAGCAAAACATCTATTTTTCCCACCCTTACTGCATACTCAGCTAGTAACCCTTTTTAACAGCGATCTATTCCCTGATAAGGATGAGGTAAACTGCAAGTACATATAAAGAATATGTAAAGAATATTCAAGGCATCTGACAGAAGAAACTACCCATATGCACTTACAGCTGGATTCTGCTGTTCTCCATCAGTTCCAGATAAAAACTTTTCAGTCTACCTGCAGCTAACTCTCAGTTCTCATCATTTGCTTGAAGGCAGATCAGAAATTGCCTTTTGATTTAGATCTGGTAATCAGTGACCATTATATGTGGTCTATTTACAATGTACATTGGATTGGCAGCAATGGCAGGCTGTAAAGCAGGATTCACTAAGTAATTTGACATTTACACTTTCAGTTCAGGTTTTGTGGTCTATCAGATCACAGAGCAAGCAAACAAGAAGGGCTTGCTCAGTAATTGTCTCTTGTATGCTTGAATAGCCTGTTGGGCTTCATATGAATTCAGCAACAGTAGCATCTTCTCCGAATGCACTTTAGCTGAGCCTCCATTTTCAACCTGATAAAACCTGTTCTATTTCTTCAGTGGCAAAAATGGAATTTCTGCCTGCAAGGATGACAAAATCACCATGAGTCACTAGGTGAGATGGTCACCAGGTGAAATGAGTCACTATCTGAGAATCACTGAGAGGGGCAGCTATACAAATGTGATTAAATAAATAAATAAAATGGAGACATTCTTCCTCTCAATTGTCCTCATTTTTAAAAGGGCAACAAGGATGGATTATCCTAAAGGGTTATAAGGACAACACAAAATTATAAGAACAAATATTGTGCTTTCTATTTTATCAGGAAAAAACGTTTTAAAGTTTACAATCCCTGTTTTTTTTTTTTTTAATGAAACCATGATTTCATATTCAGTATGTCCATTGGAGAAAGTTCAGTTGAGAAGAATCACTCCAAAGTCCACTTTTTTTTTGCATGCTGCCAAAATCCACATCCTGTCCTATTTGGAAAATGGGCTCTGGAACCTACTAAGATGATTGTTTAAATATGTTTCTTCAAAATATTTTCTTTCATGAGATTTATTTTATTTTGTTTTATACTGCCTATACCAGTGATGGTGAACCTTTTAGAGACCGAGTGCCCAACTACAACCCAAAACCTACTTATGTATCATCAGATGCCGGGTGGGTGTGGCCCATTGGGTGGGTGTGGCCCATTGGGTAGGCATGGCTTTGGTGATAAAAAGTTCAATCAATCAATTCCAACTTTGCAAGATCTTTTTTTTTCCCGCAACAAGTTGAAATTGATTGATTGATTGAACCTTTTTTTTTTTTAGAAGGTGGTGGAGGACTAAAGCAAAAAGGTTTTATAAAACCCAGCTGAAGGCCTAGAACTGGGGCGACAGTGTGCATGCCCAAAGAGAGGGCTCTGTGTGCCACCTGTAGCACGCATGCCATAGGTTTGCCACCATGGGCCTATACTATGTAACTATACTATAGTTACAAAGTCAAAACATCTACTATTTTATTGATTCTGCATTTGAGAGCATATTTAGAAACATCTTCAGTCTATTTTATCCCCGAACAGGACACTTCATACTCTGTGAATTTAGAAGTAGCCATGTGGATTGGTGGGGGGGAAAACCTGGGCTGGCCCAATTTTTAAATCTAGGAACAGAAATATTTCCATATACATAATTATAAAATATTTCTATACAGGTAGTGCTTGATTTACAACCACAATTGAGCCCAACTTTTCTGTTGCTAAGTGAGACATTTGTTAGGTGAGTTTTGCCCCATTTTATGACCTTTCTTGCCACAGTTGTTAAGTGAATCACTGTAGTTGTTAAGCTAGCAACACAGTTGTTACAGTAAGTGAATCTGGTTTCCCCATTGATTTTGCTAGTCAGAAGGTTGTACACATGACACAGGATCACTACAACTATCATAAATATGAACTAGTTGTCCAGTATCTGAATTTTGATTACCATTGGAATGCTGCAAAGGTTGTAAGTGTGAAAAATGGTCCTAAATCACCTTTTTCAGCGCTCTTGTAACTTCAAACGGTCACTAAATAAATGGTTGTAAGTTGGAGAATACCTGTAGATTATGAAGATTTATGAAACTTTATGAAAGGATCACAAAGCTCATCAGCAGACTCCATGAGATTGCATCTAATTTCACAAGATAAGCAGATCCAA